ACATTGGACCTCTTACTAGAGCAATGGCTAGGAAGATTCAAGAAGAAGAAGGATCATCTAACATTTTACTTCTATGGAAGGTTACTTATAAAAATCCTTCTTCTCTTAACTAAAGCACTTATATTTTGTTTTGTAGGAATTAATAAATATTGGAGACTATGATTGAGCCATCCAAGAAGTTAAATCAATAGAACCAAGCAAAGGAGCCAAAAAAGCAAAGGAGGTGCTTACGGCATGCACCAGCATTTTCCACGTGAATTTTGGCTGATTTGAAAAGAAGCATACACCTTGCTGGATGAGTTGGAATGAGGCATGGACTTTGCTTGATCAAAATAAATCTGAATAATTTGAATTTAGGAGGGAATTAAAAACAGAATTTAGGCTCCTCTTCACCTATAAATAAGAGGGCCTTTTCTTTGTATTGGGGACTTTTGAGCTTAGTAAATTGCTGCTGAAATTCACTGCCAGCCCTATTGCTCTTGAGTCATTTATTCTCTCTACTTTCTCTTCCCTTTCCTCTAGCTTCCTTCCATTGTAGGAAGGCCTTCTGAGCTGTGAGGTTCCCACACATACTCATTCCACTCAAATACACCAATCATCAATCAATCTCACCCAATTTCCGCTGCATCCACACTGCTGTTTTTCATCCACTGCACCAATACTGTTCTCAATTTTTTTTTGAAGCTCTGTCTGCAAGGCCAGGTCATTTAAGCATGGATAAGTTTCCATCAGTCCGTCTCTGAGTACACCAATAAATTCAAGCATTTAGTACGATTCAACACCATGGCTACCAGTGAAGAGTGGCAGTGTCGGAAGTTTGAGAATGGATTGAGGAGCGATCTCAAAGTACTGATTTCAAGCCTTTGTATTAAGTCTTTTCCAACAATGGTTGAGAGAGCCAAAGTATTGGAGAAGAACGTTGATTAAGTGGAACAACAAAAGAAGCAGCAACAGACGGCTAGGGGATCGGTCTCGTCCAAGAGCAATACGAATTTAAGCAGAAGTCCTTACGCTCATCCTATGCCACCATCTACTTCTAGTGGGTCTCAGTCACAATCCTTGGTTGCTGCCAATCGGTCTGGACAACAAGGGGCAGTGACGTGTTTTCAGTGTGGAGGACCACACTATCGATCATCATGTCCTTAGTTGTTAGGGGTAAAGTTCTGCACTCATTGTGGGAGGAACGGACATCTAGAGTGCGGGTGTAATATGGGAGGACGAGCGGTGATGAGGCCACCAAATGCTTGAAGAAATCAACCAAGGGGTGGTGGCCGAGCACAGGCGATTGGTAGGGTTTATGCCATAACGGGCGCTGGAACAGCAAGCTCAGATACACTCATCACCCACACTTGCTTATTGTCTGAATTGCCTTGATGTGCATCGTTTTAATTGTTGTGATAAGGAAGTTGTTGGTCTGGTGGTGTAAACACCAGCAATTGGGTTAGTTTGAATATTCGACCCATGAGATAAATGTTTATTACTATGTTAGTAAGAGTGTAATTTTCTGGAATTGACTAATCTAGGAGATACTTCACGTGAATGGTGTGTCAACGATCGGTATCTATTAAGTTAGACCGTTCGGTAGCAAGGGGGTAACCGAACGGTAATATTAAACGTTTGAATTGTTGAGTTCTCC